TTATGTTGTTGTGAGGTACTGGCGACTTGGGATTGACCCATAGTTGACCCCGCAGAGGGTTATCAGAGGCAATAACAGTAAATTCTTCACAGCAGCCTTCAACTTGGCAGTTCACCTCTCACCACTCATTCACCAGAGCTCTGAGTATGTGTGTGTGTGTGTATGTGTGTGTGTGTGTGTGGTTATAACAGCACAGAACAACAACAAATAAATACGTTAAAGCAAGCTTGAGTGGCTTAGTGGTAAGGGGTTGTTCTGTCACCTCAAAGGCAGGTAGTTAGAATTCACCAGCTGCTCCTTAGGATATGGCAATCCTCTTTCCTTTTGTGCTACAAGACCTTGCTACTTGAAATATGGTCCCTCGCCCCACAACATTGGCATCACCTGGGTTATTATAAGTGCAAAACTTACGGCCCCACCCCAGATCCACTGAATAAAAACTATTTTAATAAGATCCCCAGGTGATTCTTTTGCGTATTAAAAGTGGTGAGACAGTGTTTTGAGTGCATGCTCACCTTTTAATACATGTGCTTTATTACTTATCCCTGAAAATTCCTAGTGACCAAACCTAAGATTTCATACAGGAACCCCAGAGACCAAAGATTTGTGTGTTATTCTGTTGCAACACCTACACCAGTTCCCTTAGTGACGCCTGATCCACTATCTATTCCTGGCCCCCAGCCACACAACATCTTCCCTGCCATGCTTCCTAATTGGTAATCTGCCACCCATGACCTTGACCAGATGGTGTTCTGCTTGGGGACCCCTGGCCTCATCAGCTGATTCCAGACTCAGGCAGACCACTTACAATGGGAGGCTAGTGCCTGGAGCATCCATAGAGACGGATAGACCCCCAAAGATTGTGGCATGCAATTAAAGGGAAAGAACTCTATTAAGTATTTTTATGAGAGACCATGGCCCTTTACAGATAGGGGTCACTAGCCCTGCCATTAATCTAGCCGTGCTCTATCCTTCAAATAAAAAACACTTTACATATGACGAGATATGAGGAGGGTATGGGGACAGCGGTATAGTGCTTCAAGCCCATTTGGATCAATGAACTTGGGTCCACTCTCTTACTCTCCTAAGACAGAAGGGAAGCTTGTGCCTGTTAGTGTGATCTTTCCTTTGGGGCTTCAATGTCTTCTTTGTGATTAAGTTTTTGGTGCATGTGGCTTTTTAATGAATATGGATTCTTTGACTAGTAGGGCTGAGGAATTTCACACTTAATAGCTGAGCTGTGAGGAGGCATGTGGCATGAGCAGGGACCTGGCAACCACATTATGGCCTCTTTCATAAAAAAAGTCTTGGAAGAAATGTTCTCCATAGTTACGAATATCAGGCACGTGATCCATCCAGCATCTTTAAGCCTGACTCTAGACTTGTGCTGCCAACCCAAAGGCACACAGTTCAAATCCATTAATTGTTGTGTGGGGGAGATGGAGGGAAGGGTGGGGTGTAGATGGGTAATTCTCTCATGTGATTAACTGCTGGATTAGTACCATGAGTCAGTTCCACCTTGATACCTAAGCTGAAGATCAAGGAGATTGTGCTTTGCAGTAAGACTTTGTGGGTTGGTGGTGTTAGGTGCTGTCAAGTCGAGTACAACTCATAGTGATCCTATGAACA